CGCAATAGAAACGACCGTGGGTTTCTGTATATACATATATTGCCTGCGCAACGAAAAAGAAATTAAAGTAAAAATAAAAAGATCGTACTGTTCCACCAGCCCACACAACATCCCTCACACTTCATTGCAGCATCCGGCCTGTTCCTTCGCTCCTCCTTTCGTGCAGTCCGTGGGACGCACAGCAATGAGGCCGGCACCGCGTGCGGGCAAAAAAGAAGCAAACAAGAGGGGGAAACAAATCACCCATCACGGTATTTATCAACCAAACACTGCGTAAAGAAAAACACAACAGTACTGATTATAACAGACAAACTGCATTAAAGGCAACATTGAGAAGCAAAAACATTGAAAGAATCAACAAACAGCAAAAAATTAAAAGATAAATAAAAACGGCGGCATAAAAAAGAGCGAGGAAAGCGGCACGTATTCTCCGTGAGGAGTCTCAAATCCACACTCTGCGGCTCAGAAGACTGCCACCCCCCGAACACAATCCCAGAAGCAGCAACACACAAGACAAGACACACACACGCACGGTGTTGTTACCGCTCAAATCACGCAGTGTCCATTTCACGTCGTTGGGAGAGGGCGAGGCGGTCGTCGGGACTCACGCCGCTCCAGACACTGCGAGGTGACTTTTTGTAATGGGGATTCGTGTCCAGTGGCATTGCGTTGTGTCCATTCATTTCTCTTCGGTAATATCCCCAGCAATGTGCTCTCTGACGTTGTCAACTACTCGAACCTTCTCAGATGGTGTCGGAGTCGCTTCCCTCGCCGGAACGGGGACCCTGTCCTTGAGTGCACGCATCGCAGTGAAGTTCAGTGGGCGGTTGTGCAGAAAGACGTCCGTCACCGTCACATGAGATTCGTGCCCACCGCACGCCCCAAAGCAAAACCTCAGGACCTCAGGTGGCCTCTCGCCCGTTAACGGCAGCTCTTCCTCCCCAGCGAATGATCATCAATGTGCGCAGAGGCCTTGTTGCCTTGCAGCATGAGTGCCACTTGGCGTTCTTTCTTCGACACCCAAGTGCTGCTCCGTGTTGTTGTCTTGCCTTTGAACACCGTCTCCCACTTCTTCTTGTGGCTGCGCGACAGTCCCATGGTATGATTGGACGCAGTGTCCGCCAACACCGCAGTCAGTAGAGGAATGTTCCCACTCGGAGCCTCTTCGATGGTCACCGACACCACAAGTGTGAAGTAGTGGCTCAAAGATACATGACGCACATTATCACCCCGAGCGTTCACAGGCCATATTGCCCTGGACTCAAGTCCCGTCACTTGTGACCCATCGTTGTCCTTCACTGCATTCCTTCACCGTTGCATTCAAGCAAAGGTACTCGTCGTCCCGTTTCATCACTGGCCGCATCGGACAAAACTGCCACCAGCCACGCCGTGGGTATAGACAAGCTGGAGAAGAAAGTGTCCTTTTGCGCCCAAGTACTGAGGACGAACTCGATTGTACTCAGTTCCTCCGTCAGACGGGAGAGTGGAATGACACTGCCCTCACCGTTGTCCCTCCGTTGTAAAAGATGCAAACCGCCATCCGAGTGCAGCAGAGTGCTGGTGAGCAACTAATCCGCAGCATTGTCCACGACAACCGGTCCAACAGAAAGCGTGCGTTTGTTGTCCGTCACCCAAAGGCAGAGCGCAGTGGACCTTTTCTTCCTCGAGGCGTGCCCTCCCTGAGTGCACAGCATGACCTCCCGTTCCTCAATGGTCGCGGCGATGAGGGCATCCACACGCAGGCTTTCCTTCTGAGAGACTCCTGATCGTGCGTTGACCCACACAGCTGAGAGTGTCCCGATTGCCTCCGTACACGCTGTCCCCATGTCACGCGACCCGTACACCCTCTGGTCATCCTCGAAGTCAACACTCATGAGAAGTGATTCCTCCCACTCGGTGACGCGGGGTTCAGTGCAGTTCGCAGGTGAAATGTCTTCACAGAGCGTCCAGATACTGCCTTTGTCCGTCGAATGCACGATCATGGAGTAAACGTCTTCTGCCTCATTCTTCGCCATCAGAGGAAACAAAAGCGTGCCATCCTCCCTCAGAACACTTGAGCCACCAGAAGCAATGAACTTTGTCCATTCACCTTCGTGAGAAGCAGAAGAGATCAGTTTCGAGAGTGGTTTGGGGTCGCCCCATTCGATCCGTCCACTCTGCTTGCCACCCGTGGGATTCGTGACATCACCCACAACCAGTTTCGGCTCCAAGCCGCCCTCACTCCAACACCCACCTTCGTAGGACACATCAGAGCCTCCCGCAAGAGGAAACACTCCGTTGCCCTTCGTGATTGTTGTGGGGCGGAGCACAACACCCAAACTCTCCCTTCCCTCCGCTGCACCAAGCACAGTGTTTGCCCTCCATGCATCCTTTCATTGACCTCGCCAATAATAGTGGACCAATTCCACGCAGAGTCGATGTACCCCGCAACAGGATCAGAAGAAAAAGACATAATTAATTGACCAAGTTGATATTCGGCATCCATGCAACCTTCAAAGAAAACAGCCATTACTCCACCAGCACTGACGAGAGAGGGTGAAGCAAATGAATCCCTCGCCGTAACTGGAGCAACCCCATCCTTCGGCTGCACCAGCGTCGTCTGCGGCACAAATAGATCGACTCCCTGCGGCAACTCAGCATTTATTAAACCAACCATCGCATCATCAATGGTATTCCCCTTCGGCTCGGTGACAGGCGTGGGCCTTCTTTCGGGTGGTGTCGGAGCCACATTGATATTTTAAACGTAAGCAAACACAGGCTTCGTCTCGGACGTGTTGGTCGCCGTGTTGGATGCGGGACTCGGATCGACGGTGTTGGGTCCGTCAGTCGCCGCAGACTGTCTCCAATCCGCGTTCTGGCGTGACGGCTCAGCATTCACTTGCGGCGCAGTTGTCCCACCAGATTTCGTGTCATCCCTTCACGGGGTGGCGGCAACTGACAGATGCCCGTCTGGTCAGCATCGCCGCTCCGTGCAGGCGGATGGATGGTTCCATCGGGGGAAAAATTGACGCCGCCACAATTCATAAGGGCCGGCGTATTTATGTGTCGTCACATCCATCGTGAAGGCAACGGTGGCCCCTTCCTCTTCCGTTGCACAGCTGGCAGCACAGTTGCTACATGTGTGCACCGCACTGGCCACATGACACACAGCACCCGGCTCACCATTCCTGCCATGCATGCACACACCAAAGCCACCGAACGTACAATTCTCATGCTGAGCCTCAGCACCGGCAGCAGAACACTTCTTCCACGCACGCGATAGCTCAAAATGCCGTCACTCGGAGCACACGACACACCCACCGGCACAACCAAAGCATCCGCAGCACCA